GATCTCCATAGCATTAAATCTGTCTTCCAACTGCTTGTAACGGTCTTCAGTCGGAGGATATTGCTCTTCATCAAAATCAGTCTCGTTGTCGGAGACTACCGGACTTTGACCTTTTTCCCCTTGGGGGGTACCCTTGCCTATAGAAGAACCGGCCTCTTCATTCTGCAGAGTATTGCCAAACCTTCGGCCCGAGTTGAAAAGAACAGTTCTCCTCTTCTTCTTCTTTTCCTTCTTCAGGAGCAGAGCCTTCAGCTCTTCTTGGCCCTGAGCCAAACCCATGATTAGTTCCTGAAATTGCGCATTCTGCGCCTGAAGAGCCTTGATGGACATCTCAGTTGATGATGAGTCAGGATTCATGATGCTGAAATAAATAGCGAAGAACGATAAGAAACCTGAAAAGAAGAAAACCTGCTATGCACATGATGAATGATATGTGTTTATGCAATGCATTCAAGGGTTCGAAAGTTCAGATTTGTTGTAGACAAAAAGGAACACACGTTATCATTAAGGAAATAATTGTTCAGTACATCAAAGCCTCATGGGCACAAATTACAAAGCAAATCAATCCCAAAAGACACTACGCATCCTCTTTGGAGCTATGTAGGTGTTGAGATTCCTCTCCTCATGCAATAGGCGGGTGAGCTCCAAGACCTTCTTTTCACTAGCATGTAGACTGGTCTCAAGAGAATTCCGTTCTTCCTTAAGCTGGATCCAGCTCTTCTGCATCTCTTCCCAGGATGTGGGCATATCAGGATGCTGAATGGTGTAGGACACTTCTCCTTCCAAGACTGGCTCTTTGATCACTGGGAGCATATGAGGATAAGGCATTACTAACTTCTGGGAGCGGGCACGTACCCACTTGAGATAAGGTTCCAACGGGATGGAATTCCTGTGCCCCAGTGTCTTGCTGTCTATCCTACTGGGCATCCTCCAAGCCCTGATAAATCTCTGGCGAAGTCCTTGTGCATCGTTGTCGAAGTCAAACACTATGTCAGGAATTAACATATCATGAGGACCATCCCTCCGAGCATAACCAAACTGTCTCCAAGCCAGGCATGGGCTGTAAGTGATACCTCCTCTGATTCCAAGTAAAGGAACATTAGGGTACTCCCCGCAACGATCAATGATAGTGACATCCTCCCTAGACCGAGGACACCAATGTATATCTGCATGTGTAAGAGTCTTCAACCGTTGTGACCATCTCAAACCCCGCTCGTTCTTAAAAACTGATTGTGGAAGGTGCGAAATAAACCACCTTCCCAGGAGAGGAGTGAAACACATAAGGACACCTCTTTTTCTCATGGTTCGAGTGTAACATGAGTGAAGGATGTCCCCCAGTAACGTAGGTATAGGATTCCTGGACATGAAGATCTGGACAACACTGATATCTATAAGCTGATCTGGGTTAGGGAACAATACCAAACCATAGACAAGGAGGGCCACAACTTCTTCAAAAGCTTGTAAGTCAAGGGAGTTCCAACATTCATGGGCCTTCTCAAACAGAAACCTGGCTAAGAACCCTTTGATACCACTTCTAACTTCCCAATGTCCCTTGAGGTCAGATGATTGTAGGTGCAAGGCTTTAGCAATCTCTTCAAGCTTGGGTTCCTTTTCCGTACCGTTGTAGGGTAGTTGATCAAGGATAGGGATCTTCAGGAGCCGGGAGAACTCCTCCAATGTAGGTACCAGCTGATAATCCAAGAAGGTGAAACAGTGATGCAGAGGGTCAAAGAACTGGAACAGGACCTTTATCATATCTTCCTCAATGTTGGTATTGACCAAGCTGATGAGTCTTCCATGTCTTTCACTGAATGAAGAACTCTCGGGAATCCTGGATATAAGCTCCTTAAGCTGAGGAGGGATCTTTACAAGACTGATTTGAATTGTCTTTCTGCGAACAGTTTCCATGTCCTACAAAACAAGAACAAAGATGAAGATTCGAACCCCTGAAATGGTTAGTCAATGCATATGATGCTGGATGATGTCATGATGCTATGATTAAACACACCACAGATATTTACAAAGACAAACATGTAAGGCACACAAGGCACACAAGACATGCCCTTAGGGTTTAAGGCCTGCATGGGGTCTGGGTAGTACCCTCTTGAAGTTGGTGGGTTCAACCTGTCCTATTAGAAGTAACCGGGTTCTAAGGGTCCCAATATCACGGGATTGCTTTCATTGTTCATCGTTTCGATTTAGCCACTGAACTGGCGACCGAAATATTCCAGGAAAGCAACCCTCAATTGAGTGTAGTATCGAGTATCAACCAACCTCGGACTGCACCAAAGTCAGTTATCTCACTACCCTAAAGAGGCCAAGATAGTTCAATTAAGGTTCCTAAGGTCTGTTGATGCTTCATGACACCACGCAGAGGCCCCGTACTCTCCTTGACTGAACTCAAGGGTTACCGGTACACACCAAAGTGCCACATCAACGTAGCAGACTGTTTCAACCATGTTGGTATACCCCGCACAGTTCCCTCACAGCCTTGTTGCTACTTTCTAAGAAGGTATCCCCCAGATCCGGGTTAGGATCTATAGAACTCCCAAGCAACCCACAATAATAAAGCAAGCAAGGAAAGCAATTGAAAACACAGTGATCTTAGTCCTAAGGTACACCTCACTTTAAGTTTTATCCCCAGCAGAGTCGCCAGTTCTGTGATCGGTGGATCTGGAACTAACTGTTTAAAGCTGGTTCGCGAAATGTCGCGGAAGCAAGAGTCGCCACCGTCTTTTATTTTCTCCAAATGGAAAGGACAAAAGCACAGAAAAATTCCTTAAGAGATTGCTCTCGGTTCGGGAGGTAGGTTATAGAAAGGGAAGGTGTTAGCACCCTTTCTATCCATGGTTATCCATGGGCTCTTAGATACTTGCTCATTGTGTTTTCAAAAATTGGTTTGTTTGCTTTTCAACTGTGGGTTTTAAAAAGTTTCTTTGAAAATTTCAGTTCGACTCTTGTATCGGTCCTCAAGAGTGTTTGAAAAATTGCTTTCGAAAGCTTTTTGAAAAGGTGTCGGTGTGAAAAGTATTTTGATTTGTTTTGAAATTAGAGCAAGTATCTAGAGTCGTCTACCTACCCTAAGGAATTCGTCTGTGTAGATGTCCTTTAAAGTAGTGCCATCCTACCATTGAGAGGTAGGTAGCACCACCGTTGGAGGTGTTCGGGTCAATTCGAAGGTTCGGGACATGGTGATCACCAGAGCAATGGGAAGACACCTTAGAAGCTACCCTCATGCCAGGTTCCCGGATCATGAGGACTTACTAAGACATCCTCTACTCGACGATCACCTTTCGAGGCAAGGCAACAGTGAGGCGTACCCTTGGGGTGGTGTGTGATTTTGTGCTGTAAGTCTTGAAACTTGGTATGAGGATGCTTGACCATGTTTATAGGCATGTGGGACTTGTTTGGACCCTTGGAAACTTCATTTTATTTGTCAGAACCAAAACCCTAGTTTTTGACTGTTAGGAGGCCCTTGAACTGTGCAACCATTGGGAAGATTTTGAAGTTTAGACTTGGCAAATTTTGAAGAATATGGGATGGCAAATTTTGGGGTACAACAGAAGCAAAAACACTCTGAAACTCAAAAACACCAAAATACTGTCCAAAAACTCAGTTTCTGCAAAACCATAGCCAACACTCATTTGGCTCGTGCGTTTTGTGTTTAAACACTTCAAGCATCTCATAAATATCATACCAAAGCAATCCAAGCCATCACCCTGGTTCTGTAACCCCTGTTTCAGCATCCACCATTTTCACTTTGGAAGCTTGCAACTTGACTTGTGCAGAGAGTTCCAGCCATCCTCAAAGCAAGATAAGCATTGGAATAGCTTCATGGAAGTTCAAGGAAGCTCAAACAATCCTTAGGCCTCCATTAAAGTCCCTGCATTGCTCTACTCGAATCCAACTGAAGGAGGTATTTTCTTGAACCCTATCTCTCTGAATAGGCATCCTCAAGCCACGATTTGTGAAGAAAAAATGTAGTCCATGTCATAATGAAACTGTACATATCCATACTTTTCATTTATATTAACTATGCTGAGAGAATTTGAAGACTGTAAATTCTGGAAAAGTTTGGTCACGAATTAGGGCTACCAAAATTCTCTTTGATCTTTTAGAGTTAGGTTACATAATTTATATGGTTGGAATCGTGAGCTCAAATGCCACATGTTTCATGTTATGAGTTTTTGTTTTTATGCAAGCATGAGCAAGATGCAGGTTGAACTGGAAAACGCGCGCGCAAGAAAAATGATAGATTGGGACGGTTATTTTGGCTGATTACGACGGTTAAAACCGTCGCAATTTACAATCTACGACGGTAGAAGTACCGTCGCAGAATCGTGCGTCCCCAGCCTATTTCGCGACGGTTGCAAAAACTGTCACGCACAACAGATAGCGACGGTTATATACCGTCGTGAATTTGACTTTATTTTTTGTTTTTGTTGTTGTTTGCGACGGTTATTCTACCGCCGTAGGTTAGAAATTGCGGCGGTTTTAACCGTCGTAATCTGATTTATAAATTTCAAATAATATTTTTATTTAAATTATTATTTAGTAAAATAATTTTAAATATAATATTATTTTACTATAATATTTTACTATTATATTTAAATTATTATTTACTTTAATATTTTTTTATTTATAGTATTTTTATTTTATTTTCTATCACTTTTCAACATAATAAAGTTAATTACAATAAAAACATTTAATATCAAATAATCATCAATAATATCAAAAAAATGTGATCAAAGGTAAAAAGAAGTGCAAATTTTACCAATAAACAAGAAAAATTCAAATATCATCAAAGGCCAAATTTCATTTTAATATTTACATTGGTTTGCTACAACTTGAGAGAATTACAAAAAATGTTACAATATTCTACAAAATTCATGAAAGTCCTTAGTGTTAAGTGATTTTGTGTTAAACTTCCATGCTAGGACCATGATCCTTCCTTGACTACCATTTGGTCCAATCTACGCATACCTAGCAGCCTGCAAGATTCACACAAAATGACTCCTAGAGTACATCCTGTAATTGTCTGCAAACTTTTCATGACGAACGACAAATCCATGCCCAGTTGCTCTGTACTTTGCCCCTCCATGCAGGAGAGTGCGCCCAAAATAGTGCATTTTCGTTCCAAGCGAGAAAGTAAAGAAAACAGGTGCCAGCTGTAACTGCATTATTATTATGCAGGCGAGCACATGAAGATTAAAAAATAAAATGTACATTTTATAATGGTAAAGTAGAAAGAGAAAGAACGTAGGATAGTTACGATTTCCATGGAGTGTGGATCAGAAGAGAGGCCTTCCTCAGAGGCAAGGGAGAGAGCAAGGTCACGAACCCTCCAAACATGCACTGCATCGTGAGAAGCATCATTCCCTTTCATTGCTTTCTCAACCAACGCCTCAGCTTTTCTTACCCTCTCTTTCCTCTCTATCTCCATCCTCTCTCTAGTTCCAGGAACTGCAGTTGCGCACCTCACTCGGCCAATATATTTTCTTCTACTATCTTACAGACCAGGGAGGCCGCTTGTTGTTTGCCTGCATGAGAATGTGATCATTTAAATGGAAACAATAGTTTGCCTTTGATTGCACAGTTTATATTGTGCTTCAAACTTTATTCAGAAAACCACATCAAAAAGGAAATTAGTGAATAACATCAGTTAACATACCCCGATTTCTGTCACAAACCGGCATGATGAACACCTGACCTGTGAAGCGCCATATGGATACATTAGCAATAGCGTACAACTCCCACACTTAACTTGCCCGACCTGATCAACTGCAGGGAAGAAATGACCTATGATATAAATAGATTGCCACACAAAACGATAATGCATGCCGTATCATGTTTTTTACACAAGATTATTTGCAGCAGCAAGCACGCAACTACCAATAGCAGGACTGTTCTTCCCATCATGAAATTGTTTATGAAAGTATTTAATCAACCAGGTGCATAAAAGCTGAACTTAAAGTGCAAAGTTTCACAGAAAATACACGTTCAAGATAAAAAGAAGCAAAGAGAAAGTAAACTTGCCTTCAAACACAATGTTGACCGTTTGACAGCATGAACATTTGACATGTTTGGCACCTGATGGATACGAAAGCAGACGTCTACAAGAACCACAAACCATTTGAGCAAAACCTGTTAACACATATTTTCTAGTCAAACTCAACAAATTAATACCCAATTCCGTCCCTTGTCAATTGCAGATTGTTAAAATTCCTCTTTGCAATAGTGCTATAGCACTACTATAACCGCCACATGACAACATTTTGTACTAAATACCGTATCTCAAAACAATGGAGGCCGCGATTTGACAACATTCGTTAAAATTTACTTGTCCAATCATTGAAGAACAAAGACTAGAAATAAAACAATGATCGTGCAGTAGGTGATTAATAACAGTGCATAATTTAGAAAAATACAAATTATATAGTAAAATCCATTAGGGTATCTTTGAATATTGAAAGAGAGTGAAGGGAATAGAAAAACAACAAATTCCAAGCAAAACAAGCATAGCAAAAGTGATTTTACCTTACAGACAGCAAACATAAAAGTAGCACCGCAACAGAGCCTACAAAACGCAGATATGGTTAAACTCTAAGCCCATTCAACCACATTTCTTAACACAAATAAAATAAAAGGTCATGTGAAACAAATTGTTAAGTTTAATTCAGTGGAAAACTATAATCAGAATATTTCATGATTAAGAATATGCAGAGAATGAGTTGAAGTTTTAATTAAGTAAGAAAATAGAAAAGATAATGCGTACGGCATAGGAGTGGAACAGAAGGTTGACGGAGAAGCACGCCGGCGCTATGAACGACGGCAGGAACTGCTAGCGGGATTAAGCTTTCGGTGTTGTTCTGTTTGATCTGTGTTTAAGACCTTTTAATTATTGAAAACCACATTCAACTCAAAAAGTAAAATCAGAAGCCATACTGTGTATCTCCAACGTCTTTAACAAGACTATTCTGAGATGAATCACCAGCTTTCTTCAAAGTATCACCGACCATAATTATTCTGGACTTCTCTGCATTACCCTACAATAACAACAACACAAATCACAAACCTTCGTCGGTTTATCAAAATGAACCTCAATGAACCTTCATCGATTTATTACTTGAATATATTAAGAAGCTGCTGATATTCAGAATCCCCCGGAAACAAAGCATGTCTCCTCACCATTTCAGCTGCATAAACAAACAAACAATCAATCAATCAATCAATTACATTTCCATCATTAATAGAGAAAGAAAAGTATCCAAATCACAAAAACCGTCTTAAGAGATTCACGATATTCTCCCTCATGAAAATAATCCCCAACTCAATTCCATTCAATTTGATTCCTAAAGTCATATTTGGGATGCAATCCAACTCAACCGAAATCATGAAATACTTTAAGGCACCTTAGGTATTATCAATAGCAGATCAAAAATTTTCATTTGAGTTCCGCTACACATCACTGCCGCGAATCCACCTAATTTTACACAAAACCCTAACAATTTGTTCAAATTATACTATGTAGTGCAACAATTCTACTATGAGATCCAAAACCCTAATTATGGTAAATTAGCAGCAACAACAAGAAGAAGTAGAAAAAAGAATTGAAATCGAGAGAATGACGTACCAAAGATACATCCAACAGACCAGATATCAACTCTAGTAGAGTAGGTAGTAGATCCAAGCAAAACTTCAGGAGCTCTATACCAAAGAGTAACAATCTCATGAGTATAACTCTTAAGCGGGACGGTAAAAGCCCTCCCAAGACTAAGATCAGCAATCTTCAAAATCCCTTGCTGTTGATCGAGAAGCAAATTCTGCGGCTTCAAATCCCGATGAGATTGAAGCGAAGAAGGTGGTGGTGGTTGTTGTAGAAGATGGAGAGGGAAGTGGGGGAGAAGGAAGAAATGTTGTTGGTGGTGGTGAGTAGTGGAGATGAAGATGGAGGGAGTGGATGGAGGTTGAAATGAAGAGAAGACATGGTTGTGGTGGAAGCCGGTGATGTCGGGCAGCGACGAGAAGAGAAAAAAGGAGAAGCTTTTGGACCTGTTATGTTCTTTTGTTAGAAAATCTTTTAATTTTTTTATATTAATTTAATTTGATAAATATATAAATATATTATATTATTATCACTTTTTTATAGTATACCGTCGTGATGTGTATTTTATGGCGGTTTGTTAACCGTCGCGACCTTGATTTTAGGACGGTTTATAAAAAACTGTCGCAATATTTAATAATTTTTTAAATATATAAGGACGATTGGTGTATACCGTCGTGAAATGTGTCTCTATATTAGAATTACGACGGTTATCAAGTAACTGTCGCAATTTTTGTGTCGTAAAATCCTAATTTTCTTGTAGTGTCCATACTTTTCATTTATATTAACTATGCTGAGAGAATTTGAAGACTGTAAATTCTGGAAAAGTTTGGTCACGAATTAGGGCTACCAAAATTCTCTTTGATCTTTTAGAGTTAGGTTACATAATTTATATGGTTGGAATCGTGAGCTCAAATGCCACATGTTTCATGTTATGAGTTTTTGTTTTTATGCAAGCATGAGCAAGATGCAGGTTGAACTGGAAAACGCGCGCGCAAGGCTGGCCAGAGGACAAGGACGATGATTCTGGGCTTTTTTGTGCTTTGGCCTTTTTGTTTTCACTAATCACACCCCCTGTATTGCTATTACACCCCCTTGACTAGTTTTTTATATTTTTGCATTTTCTTTCATATTTTTATTTTTATTACTTTCATTTATTTTTTTTAATGATAAAAAATACCAAAAAAAGATTTATTTATTTTCACACTTTTATTTTATTTTATTTTTAATTATTTTCTTACATGAAAAATGGTTTATTTTGATAAATAAAACTTATTTTCTTAAAAAACTTATAAATATAATTAAAAAAATACTTAATATTTTTATCATACATTTCATACTCATAAAAAAACTTATTTTTGTACATATTTAATTTTTAAAATTTATATATAATATTATTTAATTTGTTCTTATACAAAAAATGTACAAAATAATAAATATAGAACATTATCTTCTTTAAATAAAAAATTAGGGTTTACCCCTTTCAAAAAAGAATTAATATATTTATTTTTCCTTATTTTTAGGTTTAAGTTAAATATTTTTCACACAAAAAAACAAGACATAAAACATTTTTTAACATACACATTTTGCATTGCATTTTAAATATTTGTCTTATATTTATTTAATTCGCGCAATATTCGATTTGGTTGTAATAATATATATTTAGGTTTATATTTGTGCAAAATCCCCATTCAAACTTGTATCTCCCCTCCCATAATAATTGTTGTAATAGCTTGGTTTATTTTACGCAATTTATCGCTTTTATACCATGATTAGTAAATTAGGGTTTGCATGACAAGAACAAAAACAAAGCAAAATAGAAAACCCTAAATACAAGACAAAAGCATGAAAATGACACACATTGCACACAAGCATCCTTAGGGTTTCTCCCACTTGGTTGCCTAAAATAAAATGGCCATGTTACGCATGCGAAGTATCTTGGCAAAACAAAACAAATATAAGATCATAGTCCCTCGATGACGCTATCAAAAGGTTTCCTAAACAAAATGATCTAGGTCCCTCAAAAATGCTAAGATACTTGGCAACATTGCTATCATGGTCATACGATGACCCACGCCCGTCCCGTTTACATCCAAAGATAGGGTTGCTTACCAAATCAATGGTAAGTCTTCAATGTCAAAGGAATAAAAATACACAAGAAAGACATTTGAGTAGGTAGATAGCTTCTAGTTACTTGTCCCATTTCAAAACAATCCTTGCTATTTTCAAAAACAAACACACGCACATTTCAAAAACATCTTACAAAATATTGAAAACATTTTCAAAAGACAAACATCTTTGTATACATTCTTACGAACGAGAATCATTACAAAGATTGCCTAAACGAATGGCCCCTTTTCAAAATACTTTTCAAAATCACATCAAACATCATTTCAAACAAAGCAAAGCAAGTGATCTAAACAAGTAACTAAGAGCCCATGGAAAACCATGTATGAAAAGGGTGCTAGCACCTTCCCTTTTCATAATCTACCCCCCGAACTCAAGAAAACATCTCAAAGGTCTTTCCTGTGCTTTTTTACCTTTCCTTTTGGACAAAAGAAAAGTCGGTGGCGACTTTTGCTAACCGTGACATTTGCGAACACAAACGCAAAACCTCAAGTCAGTTCTCCCACCACATCACACTTATGTTTTTGCTTCTAATACCGGATGTATAGCCACCCTAGTGGTAGAGAGTGAATGCTTAAGACGTTAGTGTTAAGGGTCCTGAGTTCTAGCCCCAGAAACACCTTTTTTTAATGTTTATTCCCTGACATTTTTTCCCATCCTGGACTAGTACTTCTAGACATTTCCATCAAATAACATTGACACCTCACATACCCATTATCAGAACTTCTAGCTAGCCAGTGACACTAGAACTTCTAGGTTTCCAGCTACATCATAACTTCCAAACTCTCTCTAAACATCCAGAATTTCCAAACTCCCTCAACCACCAGAACTTCTGACCTTCAAGTAACATTAGCACTTCTAGGCTGCCAGTTACATCAAAACTTCTAAAAAGATTAAAAACATTTTCTTAAGCTAATTCATTTTCTTCTTTAAAAAAAACAAAACAAGCCCATTTTACATTTCTTGTGCATTATTTTGATATGGTTGTAATAGATAATTAGGTTTGATTTCTTTTTATCCCCATTTGTAAATTTGTACACCCCATCCCCTTAATGATTGTAATAGCGTAGAATATATATTTTTCGCAATTTATCGCTTTCATATAAATGCTAGTAAATTAGGGTTTGTATGGGAAAATAAAAATCAACAAGTAGATAACCCTAATCAAAGATTAAATGCATGCAAATCAAACACACTATTCACACATGAACCCCTAAGGTTAACTTCGCTTGTTTACTAAAAAATGTTCATGTTATACATGTGAGATGTCTTAGCAAAAACAATCGAAATACAAGATCATCGTTCCTCGATGATGCTATAAATGTTGCCTTTCAAATGATCGTAGTCCCTCAAAGAGAAATGCTAAGATATGTCACAACATTGCTATCATGTCCATACAATGACCCACACCCGTCCCTTACATCTAAAGGTAAGGATTCTTACCAATTAATGGTAAGATAGCAATATCAAAGGAAGGAAGAAATGAATGAAGACTCTTGAGTAGGTAGAAACGTTCTTAGTTGCTTGCTCACTTTCAAAAAAACACACACCAAACACTTTCAAAAAAAACACACACCAAACACTTTCAAAAACATGAAATATTTTCAAAAGTCCAACACTTTGTATACGTTCTTACAAACGAGAACCATTACAAAGTTCGCCTAAACGAAGGCACCTTTTTAAAAATACTTTCAAAAACCACCATAAAGCACATTTTCAAACAAAGAAAGTGATCTAGCAAGAACCTAAGAGCCCATAGAAAACTATGGATGAAAAGGGTGCTAACACCTTCCCTTTTCATAATCTACCCCTCGAACTCAAGAAATAATCTCAAAGGTCTTTCCTGTTCTTTTCTACCTTTCCTTTTGGATAAAAGAAAAGTCGGTGGCGACTCTTGCTAACTGCAACATTTGCGATATGCGCAAAATATCCAAAGTTAGTTTTCCTACCGTATTACACTCATTATTATGCTTTCTCTTATATTGTTATGATATCTCACTCTTTCTGGTTGAATGTTACCTCCACGTGGATAACGTGCAGATGAGCTGAAGTAGCTAGAGATTGTAGTTTAGCTGAGGAGTTCCTTTAATTGTGTAGATTGAGTCGAGTTTGGTCTGATATGTAACAGTTGAGGGTTTCACGTGATTTTTTTTGTTATGTTAGGAGCGAACATGTATGGCTCAGTTGTTTGAATTATTTTATGATTATGCTGATTTTTAAAAGATAATAATTATAACTCCGGTTAGAGAATTGAGATGACTATTAATTATTGATATTTTTCCGCTGTGAATAAATGCGGGTAAGTTTATGATTTATGAATATGAAATTTGTGTTGCGTATCCTAATTTTGAGCATGCGTGATTTGCGAAGTATGTGACATCCTATTTGGTTGATATTTATTTAAAAATTAATTTTACTCTGATTATTATATAAATTACCTACGGGGAAATAGGGTGTTACACCACTCATTTCCTCCATCTCTACATGTTCGGTTGCCTCGACTGGTTCAACCATTTCACCTATAAAGCAGAGGAAAAAATGAATTGGTAAACTAAATCCGCCCTTCCACCCCAAGACAACTGAAAGGGGGTTGCTACGAACAAACCATGTCGTCGAACCCTCGTTCAGCAAAAATCAAACAAAATCATGAACGCCACGAGGAGAATATGAATTTCCCGAGCAACCTCATGAATATGGCGAGGGAGAGATGAATTTCCCGAGAAAACCCATGAGTGTCGCGAGGAGGGGATGAATCCCCCAAGCCATTTAATGATTTCTGCGGGGATCAGACGATTTTTACGAGTAAATTCATGAATATCCCGAGGAAAATTCCCCCAGATATTGAAATTCATTAGAAAATCCTTGAATCCTACGGGGAAGCCCTTCCGGAAATTTACATAAAATACAAAAACTACCTATGGACAAGAACAATCGCAGAAAAATACTTACTTGATTGGCGTTGATACGGGTGATGCCGCGGAAAGTGCGGTGGTGCTCGCGACGGAGAGGAAGACTAACGATAGTGTGACATATAGGAAGAAACAAGAGCTTGGAAACATTACAAATGAGCCATTGGACTCTATTTATAAAAGTTATGCGGAAGACGAAGCATCGCGTCGAGTAACGTGTCAACTATTCAATTCTCTTCTACCCACGCGTTCAAAGTCATAATGACCCCTACTCCACATGCCATCATTCTAATCTAGAAGCTACGCCATAGGGCCCAATAAGTGATTCTCCTACAAAGGTTTTGGCTTCCCACGAGTCGAGGAATATGTCGACTGTTCCCGCTAACATGTTCTGATTTCTATCTGAATAGTTACGATAGATGGACGACTTCGTCTCTTGAAGGAATAAAGGTCCCCGACGAAGCTATCCCCGACAGACTGGCGAGTTGGTCTTATGTCATAGCTCCTCCCTTTAGGAGCAACGACTTGGAGGCCTCCTGTTCTGGACTTGGCCTGTGCTTGGCTCAAACAGCATACAAGGCTCAATCCAACTGTGCTGCAGGTGAAGGCCAGTAAGAATGAGGTTGCCCTTGACTATGTCAGGCAGAGACTCCACCCTCGTGCTGAAAACATGCCCCCTGGGACTTCCTCGCCATAGGATATCGAGGAGTGCTAACGACTCCCAGGAGGTCTTGACGGGCACCCTCCTCGTAGGGCAGACACCTACGTTTTAGAATTTCTCGGAGTCCTCTTGACCCCAAAAATACCACAACTACGTCCTCTTGATAATTCGGAGCAGTCCATTCAGGAGGGAGAGCATGTTCTAGGGTCCACTACTGACGTAGATCCTGATAGTCTCAATTTTAAGCCGACTCTATCAACCCAATATGAGGACCTTGACCTAGCGTTAAGGGCTATAAATACTGTCTCACTTGAGAGGTTTAGGTATTCATTCATTCATCCATATTTTTACATTCTACTTACACTTACTATGAACCTTACTTTAGCAGCAAAGTGTCTTACAGGTACCCTCAACTTCACAATCAACCGTTGCCCGAATTGAAGCTTGTGGGCCTTGACAATCCCTTCTGATCGGGTATGATCACTAAGATTTCCAATTTTTTGATACACACTGGACAAAAGAATAACTAGTCACTCCAGGCTTTGTCATAAACACACTGATGAAAATATTAGAAAAAAATGCAATGTCTGTATCCCATGTTACAAATGTATAACAATATTTTACCATGTTATCCCATGTTATATATATATATATATATATATATATATATATAATCCTACTGGTTAATCAGAACTTGAAAGTGAGCCGAAAGATGACGTATGCTAGGATGGAATTGAAGGAGAAGAGGAGGGCGTACCTGCAGGCACCCCGACGCTCAAGTAAGAAAGAGTGCAAAGAGATAAAAGAAAGATATTAGGGTTTTTAGCATGAATATTGAATCCTTGGCCCTCAAGAGTGTGAGGGTTTATATAGTTCCCCCGACGCTTGGCCATTGGTTCCTGTTTTTAGGCCTAGATATCAGGTTCCTCAAAAATAGGTAATTTCCAGGAACTAGCCATTGTAACGACAAAGGCTCATCGGTTGAGGAGAAGAAGGGATAAAGTGGCCTTTATCCTTCATAGTTTATTGGGACGAGGTTATTGGGCCGTCCTACAAGCAAAAGTATATTAGGCCCTGCTTAGCCACTGGTCTAGTCCAAAACAGGAGCCCCCCAAGTCATTCCTCCTAGGCGTATGAGTAATGAATTAGAGTCAGTTTGTGTGTCGAGGAGGAGATAATGCCATTGGCGTTTGTCGTAGAGGATGAGGACATTTCAGATTTACCAAAGGACAAATGCGTACGAGGAGTTTAGATGTCGTCTCTCTTGTTCGATTCGCGAGGAGCCGAACAACTGATTAGATTTTGAATGGTTTGCGTGCCATGCCTGTATCGAGCCACGCGTTACAGCAGAGGCGTAATGATGGCAGTATGGGGACTAGAGTTAATGATGACTCATATGCTTCCCTACGTCGCGCATGTGCGTGCACGTGTGTTGAGGTCTATCTATAAATAGGGAAGAGGATGGTTCATTTTCACTTTTTCTCTTGCTATCTCCTGCTCGTTCCCCTTAGTTCTGTAGGGCACTTCCATCCTCCACCGCTGAAGTTTATGCTTGATCACCACTTATCCTTCCCAACCAAGTAAGTTCCTTATGTTTCCCTTTATTTTGTGCATTTTGTCTCTGTTTTAGGCTAGTTTTTCTGATTTTGCCTTTAGAGATACATGCGGTTAGTATTAACATAGCTGGTGGGGGAGTTTTCTGATGATTTTTTGGTGTCTGATAGTGGTTTTACCATATGAGGTTTCCAACTCCGCCGTGAATCTATTAGAGACATTCATGGATTTTGACATTTTTGGGCCTGTAGCGACGAGTTGTGACGAGTTTTCTGGCGAGGTTGGGCCATTTTCTGGGTTTCTACTATGAAATGCACGAGTTTCTGATGAATCCTCGGGGGAAGTTCAAAACCCAGTCATCAGGGAGATCGTCCTTGTGTTTGTGTTTTGTTGTTTAAGTGAGGGATCTGGTCGAGGACAGGGTCCTCGTGCCTTTGTGTGCCCTTTCACTTGATTAGTGGTGGAAGGGTGGATTTGATTTGATGTAAAATTCACTTTTGTCCTATGCTTTTCATTTAAAATGGATAGCAGTGTTGAGGATAAGACTATGAGCAAAAAAGTTCTTCTGACCAAATTTCGTCACATCAGAACTCTTCGGAAGAGAGCACATATGGACAAAGCGATTCTGAGCAGGGTGTGCTTGAGGCTCCTAGGAGAAACGTACCCACAGAGGGAATACCTATGGCTTCTGAGAGGGTGAATTGGATCACACCAGGTCCCCAATGTCGCACACAAAATCGTCGCCATCGTCGAAGATGTAGCAGAGAACGAACTAAATTGTGACAGTGATGATATAAAAATAAATGTAGCAGTAAAAATTTGAGATTTAAGCCATCAATTGACTAATCTCAACACAATGAAGTTGCCACCGCACTTTATTGTTTCCAAAGGGAAATGGGAAAAAAGCGAACAAAACCCACAATGAAATAAAAGGTCCGAGATCGAGGTACGGGGGTGGGTTATGCAAAGGGAAGGTATTAGCACCCTAAGCATCTATGGTACTCCATAGGATCCACTTTGTTTGGTTTATTTTAAAAGGAGTGTTATGTAAAGTTTTACTTTCTAAAGGAAAAGAATGAATGAGTATTTCTAAACAAAAGAAAATGAAATGTTTTTTATTATTTTTGTTGCTCTCCTTGGGTCGTAAGACTCAGTGCCTACGTACTCCCTTGTGCAATGGGAAAGTTAGAGAATCGTAGTTCGGCTAGAAAATACTTGTCTGTTGGTTGATTTTAAACAAGGAGACAAGTCTTCATTGTTAGGAGAGAAATCTCGACTAACGCCCACAAGGTGTGAGAAAGATGGACCATGCGTCAGCAAGAGTGAGGGTTTGAGAATGCATCTAGTACTCAAGTGGAAAAGTCGACACCTTTATAACCATGGGGATATGAGAATGTTGATCGACTATCAATGAATCATGTCTCGTCTTGAAAAAAGGTTTGAAGGGTAAAGGTGCTCGAGCGCACAAAAGATTTTGAATGTGTTGAAGTGTTTTTGTTAATTTTGTAAGATGTCAAAGTATGATTAAATGAATTGAAGTTTGTTTAAATAAAAGAAGTTTTAAAAGAAAAGCACTCTACAAAATATATGTTTATTATGAAAGCAGTTTGAGTTTATAAACAAATAAGGTTTTGAAAAAGATGAGAAGATTTTGAAAATTAAAAAAGATGGGGAGATAAAGGGACTATCCTAAAGCATAAGGTAAAAGCTAAGGAAGAGAACCGTCTAACCAACAAGAAGCCAATACTTGACATTATGAGTCAAGATAGAATTCCCATTCTTTAGATTGAAACCAAGCAAGGATACTAGACCTCATGAGAAAACCAAGCTTCAAGTGTATTAAGTCTTTGAAAAATTGAGCAGAGTAACGGCTGTATACAAATGAATTCTAGATTACAGGCAACATATGTAATCACAATAACCTGCACACAAAACAAACAAACAATCCGATGTCTTAAGGTAAACCTCAAGAGCTCCAGACAAAATATCCATTAAGGTCACAAGGTATCCAACATAAGCCAAGGTCTTTAGTCCTAAGTCCAAGAAGTCCATCACTCCATAATGGCAAGGATAGTAACCAAATATTCCAAGTATCATTAATACTTTTTATGGTTCATGTTGATTATTAAGTGTATTTAAAAGAAAAAGAAAAGCTCAAGTGAGCAAAATAAAAATGACATCAAAATAAATGCTCAAGTGAGCAAAATAAAAATGGTATAAGAATAAATGCTCAAGTGAGCAAAATAAAAATGGCATAAGGATAAATGCTCAAGTGAGCAAAAATAAAAATGGCATAAAAATAAATGCACAAGTGAGCAAAATAAAAATGGCATGAAACGTAAATGCTTAAAGTAAATAGTACATAAAGCATAAAAATAAAAGCATAAAGTAAAGTCAATTGTTAGAAGTTAATGGTTAGTTGGATGACCATCTTGAAACTTGCATTTGGAACTCATTAGAGGATTGGTAGAACCAAATCCTACACACAACAAGTTGCATTTGCTTTTTGTCAAGTATATCATCTCTTTTAAAATTCTCAAGGCAACATTTAATGATCAACAATGTTTAAGTGATCTGCGTTGACCAAAATTGATGAAGATCCATTAGAGGATTGGTAGAACCAAATCCCCCATACAATGAATCTCAAGGTTATTGGATCAAAGGGATCAAATTAACATACTTGGGCTTGCAAACATAGGTTTGGGCCACGAATGGTCATTTATTCGAATCGGGACAAAATTTAGCGCTATGTTAAGCAATCGTAAGTGGACTTACGTAGAAGTAGAACCTATTTTGAGACCGGTCAATAGCAATCTATGTACTTCATGTTTGGATAAATGATATAGAGATCATCACCCCTTAAAATGTAGCACATTTAAAAAAAGAAAGGGATAAGATGAAGAGGGAGGGAATAATAAGCTAATTTGGATCACCG